GGACAATAGGACTTCATTTAAGAAAATTTCAGTTCCAGGCTACAAAGGGAGATGTAAAAACAAGGAATGAAGAACAGACTTTTTAGACGGACAATGCTTTGTCAGCCTTGTTTCAGTCAAACTTGTATGAATCACATGTTGTTGCCCACAGTGGCGCTCACAAACATCTTACATAAATAGCAGGATCCCTTGCTGAATGCATCTACGCGACACAATATCTACCGCATATCCATTACTGAAAAATAAGCAGAAAATTAAAACCAACCATCAGCTTCCATTTTGCACATGCATATTTTTGCTGTTGGTTTCTTAAATGAGATGGTTAAAAACCTCTTTCTAAACTTCCCCCTCCGCAACCCCACCAATGACCTGGCTTGAATCCAGTCCATCTGACTGAGAAAGGCGCCTGTTTAGCAGACATATTTCCCAGCGAAGAAGGTTATAGGAAGGACGTTCCACAGGGCAAATAAACAGGTGAGGTGCCAGAAGACAGAGCATGTGTGCTGAATTTAATAATTCAAGTAGGTCTTGTTATAGCACAGAGTGTGCTGGTTTCATCAAAAGGACCAAAGATAATATTTCCCATCTGTGGAATTTTAATGAATAAATTCTGTTTATTTATGTTTCTCTCTCTTTTTGAAAAGAAATAGGAAAAATGAGCATAACTTCTTTGTCAAATGCCACGTTCTCTGTTAATTTTCAGAAATACAATAACATAAAAGCATCAGTCTCTTAAAATGCTGACAGCTCAGACAGAGTCTTGGACATTGTCAAGAATCAGAGTAGGGTGAGTTTGGGAGGTCAGATGATAGGAGGTTTAACTACTCTATCAGGACAGGTTAAAAGCAGGAGAGAATCAGTGAAGACAAAGAAGAACCAGAGTCAAGGTTCAAAAGAGACAAGTAACCTTGAATACTTCATGTACAACAGCACATACTTAAAGTGGTTTCAAAAAGCATTTCCGAAGGATGGCCAAATTCATCAGCCAGGATTGTACTAACTTTAGAACGAGAGATTCAGCAGACCTGTATTCTCTTCCCAGTTCATCAACTAGCTTATTGGATGATTTATTGGGATAAGCACTTCGACTTTTGTTCATCTGTTACCCCCCCCTGTAAAATGGTAATGAAACTTGCCTCTTTTGCAAAGCAGACATCTATTCATAGGAAATGACACATAAATGCTAGATATTATTATTATAATTATTAATGATAATAATGAAGATAGTAGTACCTTTTTGATTTTGCAGATGAGAATGCACGTTATTTTTGCCTTTTGTCACTGTTAGTCTCTTAAATGATCTGGTATAAATATGATGAGCATCTGTTTCCATCTGTTTCTACTTTTAACATCACAATAAGTTTTGAAAAGAGCATTTCATCATTCAAAGTTTTTTCACCTGCAATTTTAATGCGGCATTGAGGCCAAAGACTCTGACCCAAATGCAAGGACTGTCTCAATCACAACTTCTATAATTGGCCCTGTCCACTTCTGTGCCTCACCCTCTTCTCTGAGGTCTTGTCCCTGCTGCAGAAACGACTCAGCTTCCCCGGGACTACTGCTAAACTGCCGCATGATGCAGCCCAGCAAGGAGAGGAAAACCTGCACTAGTTTTCTGTGGACTGACCAGCTTTTGGAAATGCTTCTATTGCTTTAAGAGCTCTAAAGAAATCCCAGGAAACCTAAAATCTGAATTTAGGCTTCTTAGTTAAATGTGTAAGATCAGATGGAATTAATATAGCTTAAACATGGGCTTAACACAGAGAAAAGAAATCCAAGGATGTGTGACTTGCCTACTGAAACATAACAGAACTGGACTTTTAGCTTTTTTTTCATTAAAATATGGAATCTCACTATGAAACTAAATGTTTGCATATGAAATACATTGAATGAATCCATCTGTCATTGTGAAACAATTTGCAACAAGTAATTACATTACAAAAATTATACTGAGCATGGTGATACGTTAGGACTAAGAGTGATGATTAGACATTAACAATTCCAGACAAATTACATGAAGCACACATTTTTCCAATCAGCAAAGATAACACATTCAGTACGAGCCACTGAAAGAGATTACTGGCTCAGCAACAGAGGGATTCTTCAGGCAAACACTGGAGAAAAGGGACTGATCATTTTGTTTTGATTTGCTACTGTTGAAGTTTGACAGAAGGGTTAATTAAGTTCTCATGCCCTTATGACATTTTCAACTCAGAAGACACGCCAAGGAAACCGTGGACTATACAAATACTCTACGTTTTAGACACGGAAGATAAAATGGTATAGAAATCTTTCTCTATGTGATTTTACTGCATCCAGCCTGGTATCTTGCATACCTCTTCCTAAATGCATTGCTAAGTTGGAAGAAGTCTAGAGTAGAGCAATAAAAATAAGGTTTGGACAGGATGTACTGATGAAAAAGGGAGGAACTGTTACATCAGCTTGCAAATGTCTAGCGGATGAGGATGAATTGTTTAAGGGGCAGGTTGGATTAGGAGTGAGAACGATAATCAGAGGAAACTAAGTAAATGAACGGTCAGTAGCCAACAGTAGTATATCCAAAGCACAAGCTGTGCAGTAGGTAATAAGGTCTCCACGTTTGCAGGTGCTTGCAAATCTGTATTTGCACCTCCTCCTATTTTAAAGTACAGATGTATGAGAAAAAAGGTAAGATTACAGTTATATGCACTACAATCAACTACTAAACGTACATCTGAACAAAAAGACAGGAACTTCATGGATACAGATTTGTAAAAGAAAGCCTACTATATAACAGGACATAAAAATATCCTGAATTATCCCCTGAGAGACTGGCTGGATATGACCTAAAGGGAGTTTTCCAGCTCTAATGTCTATGATTCACCATATATCATGTTCAGAATTTTCTTACTCCTGGAAACAACAAAAAAAAACCCAAAACCCAAAAAATGACAGTCCTTTTCCATTACTGGTTTCAGTTACCATCCTCATAGCCACAGCGTAATTGGATTCTGAATCCACTTACTGAAACACTGAAAGGAAGAAAAGAGTCAGTTTGAAAGACTGACAGGCAAATGCTATTCTCAGTTCCAGCACTGCAAACTATTGGTGACATTAATTTTTTCTGAATTGGTCTAAACTTACATCTCTGTAACAGAAACCAGAATCTGGCCCCTCATGCTGAAGCCACAGTAGAGAGGCCAAAAGCCCCAGACCTGAGGCCAAAATCTAGCAGAATCTGACTTTTGTCCTAGTCCTAAGGCAGGAATCGCAGCATGCGCTGAGATGTCTGAACTGCAATGTGGAGCACTGGCAGACGTTCTCAATAAAAAGCAAGACAATTTGCATCAGATGCCTAACCAGTGTAGACTGAAAAAAAAAGCAAACTACGTCTGTTGGCGTTTCTGTAACTGATTAAGAGTCACTGGCTTGGAAAACAGATCTCTGCTCATGAGTCCAGCTCCCATGCAAGGGCACAGTAGTAGAAGAAACAGACCCCATCCACCATATAATTTGCAGAATTAGTGGAAGATGGTGTCTGATTTTCCGGGTAACTTTTGTTTTATTTTTAGAGGGCAGATGGGAAAGAAATAGCTTTTACCTGCACTGACCTCATTTACCATTTTGCTACTTAGAAGTCATTTTCCTCACTAGAGAATGGAAAAAATGCTACAGTGGTGCATAACCATTTTTTGAGGTTTTAAATGTTACATTTTTTATAGAAAAGGACAAGGAGCTTGAACTAGACACAGAAGCTAATTTATTTTTAGTCCTGTTTCTTTTGAATTAATCTGATTTGGATACACTGATATGCCATCTTGACTGAATTTAAGCTTTATTATAATCTTGTGAATAATGTAAAGGATTGTGTTAACTAAAAATAACAAAAATTATAATTTGCCAGTAGTAGGAAAATGTAACCTTCTTTAGTCATATGGGAAACGGGTAAAAATCAAGCTTTGTTTTCAGTTGCACATTTATATTAGATCAGAACAAACAAATTCTTTGCTAATCGCTTTCAAATTTTTACAGAGGTACTGACTGCAAATCCAGATGGGACTGTTACAGTTATCTAACCTAGCATCTAACACAAGCAAGAGAATTTCAAATAATATCCTTGCATCAAACATAAAATTTCTGTTTAAGATGTCTTTAGAAAAGATGTCCATCTTGATGACGATGTGCGTTGATAGCGAACCTGTGAAATGCTTCCACAAATTTTTCCAGAGGTAAATTCATGGCTGTCACTTCTTTGAAAATTTTAATCTATCTTTTAATTTTCATTATGACTACAATTAAAATACTGATTTCAAAAACACATTAAAGGGAACATTCCCATTATATGACAACTGTTTTAATTGTCTATTAATTTTTTTTTACTGCTAATATGACCACCATTACAGCATGGAGTAGAGGATTCAATCAATCTGGTTCCCATTCACATAGGAACTTGTGGAAAACTGAATACTTAAGGTGAATTTGAGTTCCAGATTCAGTTGCTTATATATACATGACTAGGATATAGGTGTCCACGTGTGAGCTGGGTGTCTCAACTCCACTATAATCAGTGGAGAGCTAGTGAATACAGTCAGTGAACTTGTCCAGCTCAGCCTAGAGTACGCAATTATGTTTAGTCAGCTGGACAGCTTTTAACTCCGCGGACTGCACTGAGCAGGTCCTAGTTCATGTATACAGATCTACACAGTAGCCACTTAAACAGAAGTGTTAGTCTGTAAGCTGGCTCCCGCTTCAGGAGATCAGCTAGAAAATGGCACAGGCATGTAAAATTTGAGATGCTGTAGACTACTCAAGTCATTTACCATGGTGTGGCATTTGTGACACAGAACCTGTATCCAGAAGGGAGACCATGCTCTGCCTTGGGGCGTCTAAAACAGCGCTAGATGCCTCTGAGTGAGCAACTGAATCAAGCCCACAATTTCTTAGCTGCTATACTCACTCCAAGCCAATTTTAAATTCAATTGTTTCCTTTTTAATTAAAATCAGAAGAATGGAAAGCATACCTGACAAACATCATAGTGCTCGAAGAGAGACAGCAAACCAATATCACTGCGGCTTGTGATACCTTTCAAAATTGTGATATTGCCATTTCCAGAGTCCAGCTCTATCACATTGTTGAAAACATTGGACACAGCTTTGCCAGTCAAAAGCAAGTTCACCAATTCCTGTTTGTGACATGTTTAAAAAAAAACACAAACAAACAAACAAAACAGCAGTTAAACATCTTGTCTCTACCAGACATCAGTACACGATTGATTCAGGATTGGTAAGTGTAACAGACTCTTAATTTATTTGGTGGCTTTAAGTTTAGGTTTAGGATTAGGATTGCTTATAAGAAGTTTTCCAGGTATTTTGGGGAAAGTCTACTCCCAAAGTAAAATGCAGAATATTACCGGAGTTTTCAATATTCAACTTTCCAGAGGCAAACTGCTGATAAACAATTAGTCTTACAACTTTCAACCGTCTCATATTAGTGTTGTGTGTTTTTTTAAATTAAAACATTTTGGTGTCCCTTTTTCTCTACAATGAAAGCTACACCATGAATGATATACATTAAAAGCCTGTACAGTTACATGTGCTTAGTGATGTATTTTGTATGTTGGACAAGATATGTTACAAGATTTTTTTTTTTCTCACTGATTATTTCTGGATGAAGTTAACTCTTATTCAGTAAAAGACATTCATCCATATGGCATCACATCTGGTCCATATCACTAATATGCTCGTACTTACTGTAGCAGATTGTTGATTATTTCCTCTCCAATTGAATTGGAAGTACAGGTGTGTCAGAGGCTAAATACATGTGAGAGGTGGGGGTGTGTGCATGTGTGCATGCGAGTGTGCATAACATTCAAGGATCAGAGACACTAGATATTTTGCTTAGCATAAGATCCCGCAAGGGCCAGCTAGGATGTAACGGCACGTAACGGTATCTAGCAGCAGACTGTGCTACAGCAGTGAACCAGCTTACTATTAATAAATAACATATGTCAAGAAACATGAGGGGAAATAAGAAGAAAGTTTCCAGAAAAAATGGTCCAAATTACCATGCCTGAAGACATGAATAACACTGCTATTGCCAGTTTGGACTTAATGTATGATTTTAAAAATACTGCACACATTTATAGCCCCATGTTTCTCCTGAAGGACTCTCCAAAGTTTATAGGTTCTTACTGATGTTTTTAGGACTTCTAATCTACCAGTGATGTTCCACCACCTTTTTAAGGAATCACCGCATAAGCACAGTATAAAAGTCTTCTAGCAACAGTACAAGAGAAGAACATGAAGCTTGCCTTTTGCAGCCAAAATGGCATTACACTTAGTAGCTGTGGACCATATTCAGCCCACGCAACTGCCCATGTTCCAGCTTTGGGGGAATCTGTGTCCCAGAACTTTGGGATCTACATTCCACTTATGTGTCCAAGACAAAGTGTTTCCAACTGGGTGGATGCCTCCGCAGACTTAAAGCCAGTGGGACACATTTGGCACAGGACAGAAGCTGGTATTTAGACTACATAAAGTTGTGGTCCTAAGTGTCAGACAGCGCTTCAGACTGCTTATTTTCAAGCACATGTCTTTTAGACACACCTATAATAAGTCAGCATCTCCAGTTTGAAGTACCAGTTAGCTTCAGTCAGCATCAGCACAGTTAGCTGGGCCGTGACTTTTTACAGAGGAACCGTACAATCAGACATGCAACCTCAGTCATCTTTCTGAAATGGCAGGGAGGAAACACAGTTTGCAGTCTCAGCACTAAAATCAACTAAGGAGCCAGATGAGAGGAGTACGAGCACATGCACATACAGGTACGGACACACGCAGACCAGAAACGCAGGCCAAAAAGCAGAGGCTCTGAAACCAAAAACAACAATATGCCAATACACAAGGAAAAAAGAATAAAGGATGAAGGTGCTTGACACTATGGGGAAAAAGGAAAACCACAAGGAACTTGAAACAAGAAATGCCATCTCTTCCCAGAGGTCAGTTCACAGCTCTGCATGCAGAGGCGTATGACATCCCCAAGACCTCACGTTTAACTTACCTGAGTGCAATAGCCATGGCTGCCAATCAATCGGTTTGTAAGTACATCAAAATCATTGCGCACCCTGAAAAGGAGTGGAGTATACAATTAAATTTAAATACAATTGCTTCATTTAGAAGCAATTCTCTTTAGACTGAATGTCTCTAAAATCTTGGCGCAAAAAAACCCCAAGCTGCTTCCCAACCTATATTTTGGAAGTCTTTCAAAGTGATTTTTGGCATGGTAAAAAAAAAAGTGTATATATCAACTAAACCTGTGGCAAGCAAAAGTTTGTTAGAGCTAGACTAAAGAAAATAGCTGTAAAGGAGAAAAGAAGCCATTATGACCACTACTTAGAACTTTAGAACTTTAGAAATTAGAACTACTGGACTACTTGTCTTACAGAATTACAGAATCACAGAACAGTTGAGGTTGGAAGGGACATCAACTTGTCCAACCCCCCACTCAAGAAAGGCCACCCAGATCCAGTTGCCCAGGACCATGTCTAGATGGTTTTTCAGTATCTCTACGGATGTAGACTTCACAGCCTACCTGGGCAACCTATTCTAGTACTCAGATAAGGTGTTCTCACAAATTGCATGTATTTGTTATTCCTATCATCAATACTTGGAATATACTCACAAACTGAAGATGATATAATCTATACATTATATTGTCCATGAAAAGAAGAAGGAAAAAAAAAGACTCTAGGGGTACACATTTATAATACTGCTGTGTGGTCCCTTCTTCTATTTTATGACATGAAAGAGAAAAGTGTGTGAAATTGCATTATTGATAATTATGGAGTAACAGCTCGCAAAACTAAGTTCCCTCTCCCAGAACTCCTGGAATTATTGAATTAGTGATTGGTTGATGACCTAAAAAATATAGGTTTTAACTGTGATCATTTTTATCCTGCAGCTACAATGTAATTGCAAACATTATTTTATACATAAATAAATGTCTAATCTAGTTTTGAGAAAAAACAGTGTACTATATCCTGGGACAGCTATGGCAATAAACTCCATAGATTAGTTCTACGGTTCATAAAGAAGCTATTTCCTTTCGGTATAAAATATGTTGATCTCAATTGTTTTGTCTACATCCTTATTTTGGTATTGTTACAAAGGTAGAGAGAATGCCTGAATGATCATAAATTAAAACTTAGTTATTCTACACACATCTGGTCTTCTCAGTCTCATTTGACATGCAAAATATTCTATGCACCCAAATATTTATATTTCCTGGCAATTAGCACAATTATTAAAAAAAAAAAAAATAAAGAGTCGAACTGATGTAGTTAGAGTAGACCTAGCTAGAAATTTCCCTTCAACAGTGCTACACTTGCTCTGTTCAAAAATTGATTCCCTAAGCAAAAAGCTGGGACATTCCCTGTCTTCACCCCAAACTTTATATAATTATTTTCTCATGGGATTTCTTTGAAAGCCAGAATCAGAATGTAATATATAAGATTTCCAGCCCTCATGATACTTACAATCATTCAAATCAAATCATAGCCATAAAACCACAGTTCTCCTTTTAAAAAAAATATATTTTTAAGATAATTTACAGGTTTAGTCTCAGTCATAACAATGAGCCACAATAACATCTCTTGCTAGTGTGAAATCAAAGAACAGACCACGGAAAGTGTGCCTGTGATATGGAAAATTCTCTCATGCAACACCGCAAGGAATGGATGAGGTGATAATAATCTTTGGATTTTGGCCATTCTTTAGTTTTAGAAACAGTTTCATCTTGAAAACGCCATAGCCTTGTTTGAAATGAGTAGACTATACAATATGCGTCAGTTAGGGACGATGGGACATACGACAAAGACAATAGGAGGAAGTTCTAATTTCATCTGTAGGTACAAACAATATGGGAGTTTAGAGGTGTATCTCAGATTTTCAAGAAGAAGAACATCTGCCTTTCAAATCATCTCTGCTAATGAGGAAACAAACAACAGGCATATAGCTACGAGATTTACACCTATTCTAAATGCTTTTAAGATTATTATTCATACCTGCCAAAGACTTACCGGCTTTTGTGCAGGTGTATTTATTGTGTTATAATAAAAGGTGTCAGCATTTAAGTGCAAGCACACTTCATGCATTGTAAAAATATCAGATAATGATAACAATGTGTTTTGTTTTCTGCTGGGCTGTGAAGACATTCATTGATGACAAGCAAATCTGAAGCATTTGTTCATTCTGGTGTCTTTGACAGATCATTCAGATGTCAAAACAGACATAATGAATAAATGATTACTACTAATACTACTTCGTCCCTGCATGGAATTTTCCATTTATAATTTTTAAATCACTTCAAAACAGAAAACCCCATTACTTTTAAGCCAGGAGACTTTCAAGTATCCCAGTCATCATCAGATAATGAGTTAAAGGCCTGACTCTACTGAATCCCTCCTTAATTTACAACCCAATGCTCTGCATGCTGCTTTGACAGAATCAAAGGTCAGTAAAAAGATATTACCAAAGAGAACAGTGTTAATGGTAAATATTTCTTCCTAATGCTATATCATCAGTATTTTCCAGTGTAACAGCAGTACCCAATTCTAACTGGAGAGTGAGCCAGGAGCATGCTGACTGCTGGCACAGAACGGTGGTGTTTGCTTGGTAATACTGTAAAGTCTGTGGAAAAAAAAAATCAATCAGAGAGCAAGATACTGATTTTAAAAATCTCCTGGACAAATACGTAAAATAAAGCACGTGTTCAGATATGCTGAAGCGCAATTGTCAGCAGAAATAATTTCCTGAATTGATATATAATCAAAAAGTTGACAATGAGATCTGCTAAATTTCAGATCACTCTGCAAGATCTCCCAGCTTGATTTTTATTTTTAGTTGTACTGTGCGTAGAGTAACGTGGCTTACGTCTGTACTGAAACCAGGGAGGAGAGGGTTTGAATCCTCTACGCCGCGAGTGAAGGTGTGGCTTCTGCTACGGCAGAAGCAGCCTGTTGAGATGAGAGATAGCAGCAAACACCCTCGACTAACATACTTCCTAATGTGCGTAAAGTCATCATTTCAACATTTGTGTTTCAGTTTTTGCCATGGGATCCTTGAATTGCTTAATTCTCCATTCCTCAGTGCTGGAATTGCTTAGTCCAGCTTTTCTGATATCTTGACAAAATGTGGATGTATTTTTATACACTCACAGAACCCAAATAACATGGCAAAACACGTCTCCGAAGACTTTATTAATTTTGTACTGTTCTTTTTAAAAATATTCCTACTTAAACCTTCATTTCCACCCCCCAACAGGGAGATCAGGGTGAGGCACCTATATCCTGGCACTTAACTGTCTTTTTGTTCAGCATGTAACCAAACATTTTTTTTCACATTATCACATATAACGAACGTCTTTATGGGGCAAAACCAAAAGATGTGTAAGGTGGCTCCAGAGAAAATATCTACTTTATAGAAACTGGAGAAATCTCTTCATCACAGAAAAACAAAATACATCCGGTGTGAATTACACATGCTTTTCATGTTTTCTAATGCTGCTGGTTTCTGAAATAGCCTTTCCAAAAAAATATCATTATATATTACAAATCTCATTTTCTCTCCATGTTCCTGTTGGTGATTCTGTGTTAATCCTCAGCCTTGTTGAAACTGTTAGTTTCAAGTTATAAATAATATGTTTATTAAGGATGTAAAGTACTTAGAAGTACTTTAGATTATGCATAGATGCTCTGAGCCAAACCTTCGACTGCTCTGAATTGTCACAGCCATACTGACATAACTTGCTGACTTCGAGGTGGCCGTGACAGTTCTTATTAGGAATCTGCCTCATGTTTGCAATTCATTCATCCATTCTGCGATATACAAATTATAAAAAAAAAATATTCTAAGAGTTTAAGACAGATGGACAAAAATACCAGAGTTAGAAGAAACTGTAATGGCAGTATAAACCTTAGCACTGATGGTGCACTGATAAAATAAATTACAGTGATCTCTACGGACTCTATTAAAGTTTTAGAAGTGCATAAATACAAATCCAAAATATAGATATTTTGAGCACTGGATGCTACAATATAACATAATATGTAATCAGATGAATTTTTCATAGCAAATAACACTGACTTAGATAAATAGGACATTTTAAAAATGCTTCATACACATTAATTCTCAATTTACTTCCAGGAAAATTCTTGCCAAGTCTTAAATGGAGAACATCTGAGCACTGAATATTAAATAGAAAAGTCACATACAAACCGTAACACTAGGAATAACTCCAGACTATCAAAATACGAGTTAGTTCATGTCAAATATTTACCCTAGATATCTTTTGGATTGATAGCAAAACAAAATAAAGCAATATAAACCAGAAAATGGTGCATTCAAGTAAGTGCTAGCTGTTTTATAGTCCTTAACTCTGCAGCAAAGCTGTAATAGAAAATTGGTGACCTCACTTTGTTCATGGCAACAGACAGCTATATTAACAAACACACAATTACAAGTCTATTCTGAAAATAGAATTTGGGTTGGGAGGGAGAAAAACTCATCTTCAAGCATAAGGATTTCAAATAATTACAATGGGGCTGTGGAAAATGACAGGATGGGTGACTGGCTTATTGTGTAAATGTTCCATAATATTATTTTTTTTATACTGGCACACTGCAAAGGTTTCAAATGAATGTTCAAAATAGAAGGGAAGAGCCCTTCTGGAAAAAAAAAAAAAGAAAAAAAAAAGATTGCTGTTTGGGATTCAAACCAGTGAAAGCAAGGAAGTGGCTTCATTCCTTATTTACCTTTTTTTTTTCATGTACTTGCTAATTTCACAAAGTTATTAATAAGTACATGTACTCAGGTAATCATGCACATTTAATTCATCAGCTGAGCTGTTATGGGGTGCTAACATACTATAGGAGGTATTTATATTTCAAATATATGATGTGATAAGTGATTTACTTACTGGCACATTCAACTCACTATTTCATTTTTTAAAATACATTATCTTTCTTACGAATGCAATATGTCTGCCTGTGCACAAGACATTAAGCAAAGATACTAAACCTGGATCTGCTTAACCATATTGACCCCAGGTTTAGCAAACAGCTGAATA